ATTCCCTAGCACATTCCCAATCCCCTGTTATTCCTCTTCTAGCTGGTCATCCCCTGACAGGCCCCGGTGCGTGATGTTCCCCCCGACTGTGTCCATGTGTTCTTATTTTTATTTTCTTGACTGTTTTCCGGAAAAGTCATTTCACCCTAAGATTTGCAATTGATTTTGCTGACTTGGCTTGGTCAGCCAGTCACCAAATCCTAGCCTCCTCTGTACTGGCCTCTTTCTGGATGAGCCCTCAGTGAGATCCTTAGGAAGCAAGGTCAATCCTGGCACAGTGGCTCAAGCCTGTAATCTTAGCATTTTGGGAGGCCAACATGGGAAGTTAGCTTGAGCCCAGGAGTTCGAGGTTGCAGTGAGCTGTGATTGCACCACTGCACTCCAGTCTGGGTCAACTGAGCAAGAGCCTCAGAAACAAAATAATTAAAAATAAAAAGGAAGCAAGGTCAAAAGAAACCATATGCAATAAGAAGCACATTTTCTATGTCTGGCATTTTGTCTGACTGTTGGGCAACCACTTCTTAGTGCTCCAGGGCCCACGACATTTACTGCTATTCCCATTCCTATGATGGCACTCAACCTCTCCCACGCGCGGTCCCCAATATTGTGTAAGGGTGTAGGCTCGGCCCTGACTCACAGGGAAGAGGCGATTTGTATCCTGTGAGTCACTGGCACCACTTCCTGCTGGCACATTTGAGATTTCACTGAAACATAACCTGAAAAATGAAGGTATATATATATATATATATGAGGCTCACATTCCTAAAACCCATTTGGAGCTTTGATAGAAATAATGGCCTCTGAATGCATTCCCATTTTTGTAGCTGTATTGTAAAAGAAGTGCCAACTGCCGATTTTGAGTTTACCGATCATCTCTGTTATATCACCTGGCGAGAAATTCCTTTGTATCTTAGTTACCAATGTCACCAGACGAGAAATGCCACCAGATCTGGTTTTTTTTTTTTTTTTTTTTTTTTTTTTTCTTTTGACATAGACACTATGTAAAAGCTTTAGTATCGGAGTGAATTATTTGCTTAACAACAATCCATTGTCAAGGATGAAAAAGTCAAATATAATATTTGAGGTCCAATCCTGAAGAAGTTATATTCAAACAACACTAAGATCATGAAAAAAACTTGATATTAAGGAAATGTATGCATATGGCTTTAGCATTTATTCCCTCCCTGTACGACTCTTTAAAATAATGACTAGTGATTCTTAAGGATAACAGGATAGTGGATGTAATATTTCTCTGGAGATACATTTTTCATTCATTTGATCACATTCACTCTTCTACCCTAGTCTGCAAGTGTTTGGGAGCAAAGGCATATTGCAGGAACATTTGAGAACTATTGTTTTAAAGCAATAGTGCTGTACAGATGGGCATGACTTAGAATTATTTTTTCTGTTTTATTGGCCACATCGATCTACGATGGAATTGCAGTTATACACTTTAATTTGAAAGGAACATTTAAAATTATATATGATTCCACCTGTAAAATATCCTGCTGCAGGATTAATGGAGCAAGTCTCACAGAAACTATCCTGAGCGATGGACTGTGTCCAAGGAAGCGTCACAGGTAAGGAAAGCCCAGTTTTTGTGGAGGCACACCCTGGGCTGAACATTCTTTAATTAACAAAGAAAAATATTTCACCTGTGGCCTGAACAACTGGAACAAAGTTTCCAACAATGGAAAGACTAACAACTACTAAAAACCTTTAAAAAAGAAGACTAAAAGCAACACCCTGAAATAATTAGTTGGATTCTATAATAAATGCAGGTTGCAACTGGAAGCAATTCCAAGCAGGAAAGGTTAGGCTTTAGTTTATGCAAATAATAGAGAAAATAGCTGCAAATGTGCATTTTGTCCCTCACTAGCATTTTCCTATAGAAAGGATAATGTCTCCTCCAAAGCTTTCCTCAGTGGAAGAAATATGTAGGAATAGGAATGTCAAGAATGTAAGCACGTGCAACTAAAACTCCAATTTGTATTGAGGAAACTGTAATAGTTAAAGGATTTAATTCCTCAGTAGTGAAAGTGTAGTGAAATTATTATTGTGATATAAAGTAAAATTGACTTGAATGAGAATCTGCTTATCCTCCATAAAAAACTTAGTGAAATAGTTTTCAACTCTGTTCAACTGACAATGAAATCTAGGCTTTAGCTATTTCTTTGCCATTCAATAAACATGTTCTGTTGTTGTTTTGCCGTTGTTCTGGCTCTATAACAAGAATTGAAGTAGCATTTATATTGTAGGAAAAACATGGAATGGGGAGGAGATAATTAGAAACCTTTAAAGTATTTCCAAATCACTGAAGAATAGAAGACATGATGTCAACAGATAAATTCGTAACTCTTCTCTTCTGTGGTCATAAGTGATCTTAGACAAGCTTTTAATTTAAATACACTGAGCATATCTGAGACTAATAACTACTTCACAGAATTCAGTGTGAAATTTGATATATGAAGTTGTATATTATGATGCTGATGCTTATGTGTAATTTAGTTTTCAGAACCCAAAAATATACAATCAGCTTAACAGATACAAGCCTTCTCTAATTGGGAAAAAAACAAAATTCCTGTATTACATGAATTAAATTGTGCTTTACAGTACCATATAACAGAGATTTACAAACTTGTTATAAACCAATAGAGGGCACTGCCAACATATATAACTGCTAAAACCAGAGGCTGGAGTTTGAGAGTCAAGGAACATTTATGGGATATGTCAGCCACTTAAAAATATTAGTTTATTTCACTATATTCTCCCAAAAAATCTGTAAGATAGGAAAAATTAAGACCCAGAAAAGTAAATTAATTTTTTCAAGATCACCTAGCTCGAGTTTTCCTCAGAAGACTGCCTTTCCACCATACTTTGTGGCCTCTGTGTTGGGTTAAATACTCTACTTTCATTACATCTACCATAATTTGTTCTCTGTGATGTCCATTATACTCTAGTATTACTGCTCATTTCCAAATTCCAAATAAAGTGGCCCGTTTAACAATATGTATCCTTGGAAAAGGTTATTTAAACTCTTTATGCCTTAGTTTTTTCTAATGGTGACAATAATAGTATCTTCCTCAAACTGGCACTGAGAGGACTAAATAATATATAGAGATGATGTGAAGATAACCATACCTGGTTGTATTAGTTTGTTTTCACACTGCTATAAAGAACTTCCCTGAGACTGGGTAATTTATAAAAGGAATGAAGTATAATTGACTCACAGTTTTGTATGGCTGGAGAAGTCTCAGGAAACTTAACAATTATGGCGGAAGGCAAAAGGGAAGCAAGCACCTTTTTGACAAGGCAGTAGGAGAGAGACAGGAGAAGGAGGAACTTCAGACACTTATCAAATCATCAGATCTCATGAGAACTCACTCATTATCACGAGAAGAGCATAGAGGAAACCATCCCCATTGATTCAATCACCTCCCTCCCTTGACACATGGGAATTACAGGTTCCTCCCTCAACATGTGGGGATTGAAATTCAAGATGAGATTTGGGTGGGACACGGAGCCAAACCATATCACTGGTACACAGTGCGTGTTCAATAGATGGATCATCTTCTGTTTGAACTGTGAAAGATGTGGAAAGTTGAATATTTCTCTTGTCTTTCTGGAGGGATTAATCATCCTTTCATAACAGTTATCACTTAGCTACCTCAACTTAACAGGTTGATTTGAACTCTTCTTTTGCTTACAGAAACTGAATTCTCAGTGTGGTTCATCTGGCATCCCTATTCCTTATCATATGAGATAGGATATTTTCCTATTTTACTTAGATTACATTTACCTAGCTGCCAATCAGTCAAGGAAAATTTTCAGGAGTAGGAAACGAGTAGTAATAAATAACTAGTAATCATTCTAGTTATCACGCACCACAGGCCAATAAACAAACACATGAATCCAAAGGAAAATGTCCAACTGACAAAACAAAACAAAATAACATGGGAGGAGTTTATTCTCAAAAGACAACCTCTAGGGGATAGAAAAAGCAAGCTTAACATATATGTCATTATCCCCCACAGTAGGTCTTATTCATTTCTTCTAAGAAAATATGTCTAACTTTTTTTCAAATCTCATTTCTGAAATTCATTACTCCTCAAAGCAGTTGCAAGCTGAAGTCATTAATTAATTCCGCAGAGCTTAATTGCTGCTAATACTACTACTACCACCACCATTAGGATTTACGATATAATAGTTACTCAAATAAACTGGAAAGATTGGTTGAAGTGCAAATACCTAAAGCTTAAACAGAAGCAGCTACATGCTCTTAAGTAAACATGTGTGCAATTAAAAGGGTTCTTCTTATCATGCTTTCTATACAATTGAGAAACTACCTGAGCCCTTCTGATGTCTGTATTTCAACATTTTATCTTTTCACTGAAGACACTTGATGAAACAGCTGATTTAAATTCTTCCTGTGCTGACAGAAACTGGATTCTAGGGCTCAGATCAGTTCATTTGTTATAGCTATTCCTCCTCATATTAGACAAGATATATTTTGATTTGATTTTACCTACCTTGGATTTTATTAATTAAAATCTATATTCATGTGTAATTTAATGCAAGGAGTAACTTAGGTACATAAGTCAATATGAATATTTCTTAGGTTGAGTTTCTTGCTGTTACCATAAATGGGAACTGATTTTTTTATTTAGAGACTTCTTTTGTGATGGGATCTACCTTGGAGCATTTCTCTGAACTCATGATGGAATAAAACAGTGGGAATTCTCCAACTGATAATGTGTCTTAAGAAACCAAACTTCAAAATCAAATCCCTGAAAATGTTATTGTGAAATGTTTAGAGCAGGTCAAGTCTGTAGCCATGAATATAATGCCAAGGCTTTTATACTTCAACAGAATAGCTGCTGCTAGTGTTTGTATTTTCTGTTATATGCCTGTTTCTATAAGCACTGCAGTTATGTAGAAATTTAATGAAGATTTCTTTCCTTAACACATTAATTATATATTTGATTTTTCTTCATAAATAGGTTTCCATCTTCTACAGGCAGTCCACAGTACAACTGTGATTCCATCATGTATCCCAGGAGAGTCCAACGATAACTGCACAGCTTTAGGTAAGCCCAACATTGTCAATGTGGCCTCAAGAGAGTACACATTTTTAAATAGAAATGTAAACTCAAATACTATAAGTATGTGACAATGAAAAAAGGGTAGGAATAGCTGCTGTATCACTTTTTAAACCACCTTATAAACTAATGTTCTTAAAAAGTTATATAAAAAAACAACAACTGATATACACAGATTTGATTGTAAAGAGAGAGGGAACAAAAAAAATATTGGATTCCCTTTGGCCATTTCCTTGTGCTTTACTGCAAAACCACCCTCAGAGACCACACTGACTGGATTCCAGGCAAAACGGGAAAACTTTGTACAGAGCAAGTTCCCTGTCTGTCTCTTTCTACCCTCTTTCTCTCTTGTTAGGAGAACAAATGATGGGTTTTTCTTTCTAGGCACAGTGTTCATTCAAAAAACGTTTATCGAGTATTTCGTATGCACCAAACACTGTGCCAAGGCATAGGGATACAAACATAAGTAATACAGTTTTTCCCCTTGAGGACTGTGGACTTCAGATACGGTTGGTCCAAGAGGGATCAGCTTTATCTTCAGTCTGAGCTATTGAATCAAGATAACTGAGTTATTTTGAGGAAACAAGATATTTTCCACAACAACTTTACCTTTTCTTTTGTCCCTCACCATCAGGGTCTTCAGAGTTTTGGTCAGCCTCCCCCCAACACCTTTTTTTTTTCCCCTTCTTTGGTTATTTGTGCAAGAGTATTACAATCAAGTTGCTATTTGAAAAATAATTTTATAAGCATCTTTCACATTTTGGTATCTAAAACTTTCTAAAGTGAATTTTACACAGGGCCTCTGTTTTCATTGTTGTATTTGTCTAACAGAGGCCTTTCTCACTAGGGTTTGTCTAGTTTGCATTCAGGTATCATTATTAGAGATATTGGGAGACATTGGTTGATTTCATTAATGGTAACCTCAACAACTTGAGAACATACACCAAAGCCAGCTATACTGATTAAAAATCCACTGTAGAATTAAGATTCTTTGAATTAATTAATGGTATGAGCTTGAGCTTGCAACTGTTTTGGGGAGTAACAGATTTCAGAGTTGTTTTGGGACTTGAGAAAAATAAGACACATTATGTTTGAAGAAGTAAATACTCACTTGGAGGATAATGACGTGTGTGTGTTAAATTTGCCTTTTCTACCCTTAAAGTTTGTCTTTTGAGAATTAAATACTTCGATTTTATCTTGTTTTGTTTAGTCTGTTGGACATTTTCCTTTGGATTCAAGTGTTTATTGATTGTTCTAGGGGCTGTGATAACTATAGAGACTTCTACTCAAAATTCTCAACTGATTGGCATCTGACGTGTTTTGCTGAAGTAGCTCAGTGGTTACTATTATGAAAGAGTAATTCTTCCATAAAGGCTACAGAATATATTCAACTTTCTACTTCTTTCACAGTTCAGACAGAAGACGATCCACGTGTGGCTCAAGTATCAATAACAAAGTGTAGCTATGACATGAATGGTTACTGTTTGCATGGACAGTGCATCTACCTGGTGGACATGAGTCAAAACTACTGCAGGTAATATGCTAGAAATAAACAAACACAGTAATTTAAAAAAATAGATTTAGGGGTACAAGTGCAGATTTGTTAGTGGATATATTGAATAGTGGTGAAGTTTGAGCTTTTAGAGTACCTACCCCTCAAATAGTGTGTATGGTACCCACTTGCTAATTTTTCATCCCTTAACCTCCTCCCACCAACTCTTCTACCTTTTGAAGTCTCCAGGGTCTATTCCTCCATTCTCTATGATCATGTGTACACATTATGGCTCCGATTTGTAAGTGAGAACATGTGATAAATGCAGTTTTACTCTCTGTATTTCTATATTTTAAAATTACCCTATATTTCCATGGGCTGTTAAATGCAATGTATATATTACTAGAAACTTTACTGACTTTTAAAAAAATTATGGAGTAAATAGTAGCTTTCAAATCGCACAGATATGTCAGAGGTGTAGAGCAGGGAGGGCTTTCGATGCACCTAACACCTGCCAAGATGGCCTCTCTCTGCTTTGGATCTTTTCCTTCAACTTCTATTTCAGGAATTGTTTTAAGAATTGATTTCAGATCAGGCATGGTGGCTTATCCCTGTAACCCCAGCACTTTGGAAGGCCGAGGCGTGTGGATCACTTGAGGTCAGGAGTTCACAAACAGCCTGATCACCATGGTGAAACCCCCATCTCTACTAAAAATACAAAAATTAGCCAGATGTGGTGGTAGGCACCTGTAATCCCAGCTACTCAGGAGGCTGAGGCAGGAGAATCACTTGAAGCCAGGAGGCAGAGGTTGCAGTGAGCCGAGATTGCGCAACTGCACTCCAGCCTGGGTGGCAAAGCAAGACTCCGTCTCAAAAAAACAAACAGAGAAACAAACAAAAAAAAGAATTAATTCCACTGATTTAGACAACTTACAAAACATCACTGTGGACTGTCAGCCACCATGACAGCTGAACACAACTGTAATTGTAATGCCACAATTTAGCCCAAGAGTTACGTGGATCCATTTTATCATTATTGGCCCAACTCTAAGATTAATCTTTGAAATCCTCTTTACAACTTTAACAAATGTTGATGATTTATTGCAATATAGTATGATGTTAGTCTTTATAAAACTAATTCATAATCATGATTTCCTTTTTAAATAACTGATCTTTCCTTGTTCTGTATTTTGCTTCAGGTGTGAAGTGGGTTATACTGGTGTCCGATGTGAACACTTCTTTTTAACCGTCCACCAGCCTTTAAGCAGAGAATATGTGGCTTTGACCGTGATTCTTATTATTTTGTTTCTTATCATCATTGTCGGTTCCACATATTATTTCTGCAGATGGTAAGTCACTGTGCTTTTTATACTCTGCTTTTATAAATTACTTTTACTTAATGTAGACCTATAAATTGTGTTAAAATATGAATAAAGTATTAGAGAGATAAGATTGAACCTGTACAAATTATATTTACAAGAGTTGAGACACTATTAAGTATTATGCCCAATACCTGGGTGATGAGATCAATTGTACCCCAAATCTCAGTATCACACAATATGCCTAGTTAAGAAATCTGCACAGGTACTCCTAAATCTGAAGTAACTTGAAATTCTTTTTTTTAAATATTTTTTTTTTTTTTTTTTTTGCTGCAGAACATCTGGATTGAACTTTATTATCAGCTCTGGTACTTATTAACCATGTGACCTTACATAAGTCAAATTGGGAGTAACAATTTGTTTCTTTATAAAATATGGATAGGAATTTTTATTCTACATTAGTTACAGGGTGGCTGTTTTTAGTATGTAACATGATAATTCATGTGAATCATAGGAAAGGTGCTAATGTTATTGTCACATGAATTTAATTCATTAAGTCAATTTTTTATTTCATAAAACAGCCTTGTGAATTAATACATAACCTTAGAGACTTGGGAATCTTATAGTTTAAGTCTGGTGGAAATGTTTCTAGACAATTATAAAAAAAGGTTGTTAAAAAATACTTTGTTTCAGTTACCCAAAACAGTCATACCTCATCCTCATATACGTTATTGTCATGAGCTAAAAACAGAAAAATAGAAAGTAAACATTGAAACTATAATTTGACGGTTTTGTTTTAGAGTTAGGAGCAAAGGATGGGAACAGTGTCAATTAATTAATAATAGTTCCCTTTAAAATGTCTCCACGAAACCCTTATTTTGAAAAAGGTACAAATTACACAATGAGGATTTCAGTTTTTATTTTTCTGTGAAAGTAGTGCACTTCTAATTTCAAAGGTCTGAAAGTGCGCTACTTTCATAAGATTAAATTTATTTTGCCCATGTTTGATCCTAAATAACCACCAAATAATAATGTCTTTCTAATAAGTTGCCATGACAGAACTGAATGTTATTAAAACTAAAATACGCCTGAAAATCTTTGACCATAATTCTTTCCTTCATAAATGGGACACTGAGACTTAGGGAGGTACATTCACATGTCCCAGCTCACATAGTTGACAAATGACAGAGTTAAGAACAAATGCTTTCTAATTCATATTCTTCCAGTAAGCATAGACATGATGTGGTTTCCTCAAAGCTACAAGCCTCATTTCCAAAATGGGGACAAAATAAACTAAAAAATATTAGAAAAATAGACTAATGAATAAGTGAAAGAAGATTCTTAATTATGATAAGTCTATGAATACTAGCTATGTGACCGTGGGCATATTCTGTATAAACAATTTGTATTTCACTTTCTTCACCTGTAAGATGAGGATAGTAACAGCAAATGTGAGGGTAAAATAAATAATGCATGTATAGCACTTAGAACATTGCAGTTCACCAAATTATGCCTGACAAATGTTATTTTTATTTTGATTAGTAATAGCATCATATCAATGTGATGGTCAGGGTGTATTAATGTTAGCATGATATTCGAAATATGCATTCCTTAGAAGGAAGAAAAAAGAAAAAGAAAGACAGAAAAAAGAAAACCCCAAACTCAGACTTAAATTTGGTCACATGCCTCTTGGAATTTCACAATATTCATGATCATGTTAAAGACTTTGAGAAGTCTTTTAAGTGTGTTTTATCATTTCATTCCAAAATTGTTTGACTACAGCACACTAACTCTTCATCCGGGTTTTTTTTTTTTTTTTTTTTTTTTTTTTTTACCTTGTGCAGCCTAAATCTGTGCACCTTTGTCATTTGGGAAACACTATGTTAATATGCCTTTGGAGTCCATATGTAACATACTTGTTCCTATTAGTGTTAACTACAGTGCTAACAGTTTCATTTGTGAATACTTCCAGGTACAGAAATCGAAAAAGTAAAGAACCGAAGAAGGAATATGAGAGGGTTACCTTAGGGGATCCAGAGTTGCCGCAAGTCTGAATTGTGCTGTCAAACTTATGGGCAGAGATGAACAGTGTGCCTGGTTAATATTAATATTCCTATTTTATTAATAATATTTATGTCGGGTCAAGTGTTATGTCAATAGCATTGTATTTTAATATACTTGAAAAATATTTTTATTTTTATTTTTGACAGACTATTTGTTAATGTATAATGTGCAGAAAATATTTAATATCAAAAGAGAACTGATATTTTTATAACAGGTGATTTCCTGAGCTAAATGCTTCATCGAAAGCTTCAAAGTTATATGCCTGTTGCACAGTGCTTAGAAGTAAGCAGTGCCCAGGTCATAGCTCAAGAATTGTCAGCAAATGACAGATTTCTGTAAGCCTAAATATATAGTCAAATCAATTTAGTAAGTATATTTTTTTCTACTCCTCAAATCAATGATAATTGATTTGACTGTACTATGGTTCGATATGGTAGTTGACAACATGATGTCACATATTAAAACAATAATGCAATTGGAATTTGGGAGAAGCAAATATATGTTCTGTGTTAAACACTACAAATTTGAAATAAGCTAACCCTGGGGACCCTATGATCTCTTCACTCCTGTCTCAGCTACAACTCCATGTTATAGGAGGGGCAGTGGACCGTTCCCTATGCCAACCCAGTATCACTACTGGTGCTAGTCACCCATCTGCCAGATTCTGTCTATGTAAAATACATTGAAAAACAATTTTATATAATATTTTATTTAAGTAGTGGGCATTTCATAGCTTCACAATGTTCCTTTTTTTGTATATTACAACATTTATGTGAGGTAATTGTTGTTCATCAGACAATTAGAAAAAAGCCCACACTTGAAGCCTACGTTTGTGCTTCAATTTTGAATATTTCTTTTTATAGAGGATTTGCTGAATTCTAACATTAATCACAGTCCAAAATTTGATGAACTAATTATTATTTTAAAATATATTAAGACAATAATTCTATATGTTGTCTTAAGATGGAAAAACAGTTATTTCATCTTTTATTCAAGAAAGTTTTTACTTTAAAACAGCTCAGTAAGTGGCTTCTTCTAGAATTTAAAGTTATGTATTTAAAGCTGTATCTTGATACAGGAAGTGGGAAAAAACTTAAAAATTAATATAGTTTATTTTTCCAAATGAAAATCTCATTTAAAAGACTTGAAAACATAAAAACTTAAAGACACCTTTCTATGGAGTCTGAGATGAAAACTAGGGCTTATTTTTTGACATTTGCTTATTTTTTGGAAGAGACAAAGGTTTCTTCTTCACTCTGAGTCCATAGGTCTCAGTGAGTTAATAGGAGCATTTTGGGCTATTGCATAAGGAACCACTGCTGCCACCACCTTTGGATTTTATGGGAGGCTGCTTTATTGAATGCTAAACCTTTGGGTAGTCTCCCTGGATCAAATACCAGGTCAGGGAGGATCTGTTCTTCCTCCATTTTTTTCCTGGCATGTGCTAGGGCAACAAAGACATAATAAGCCCTGCTTAACCTCTGGAGCATCAGCTGCCAGGACTTGCCCCCATGCATATCCATGTATTATATACCCTGGTGTAATCACACAAATATCATCTAAAGTCCTGGCCCTGGCCCTTACTATTAGGAAAACACACACACACACACACACACACACACACACACACACATAGACACACACACACACACACACACATAAATGTGTGTCCTGCAAACATTTATATGTGTGTGTTCATATACATATTGTTTATATATTCATACACATATTGTGTATATATTTATACACAAACATATATGTATACATAACCTCAATGGATCATAGAATTACCATAATCTGTTGCTCTATTAACCATTTATAGAAAACTTAAAAACAAGAGAAAATAAAAATCGGTTAGATCTAAAAAGTTATTTCTGTTTCCTATTTAATACAGCTGAAGTCAAAGTATGTAAGAACACATTTTAAGTACTATACTTCCAGTTGGCTAGTTTCACATCTGTGGATTCAACCAACCAAGAATGGAAAATATTTTAAGAAAATACAAATAAAAACCAATGACAATATAAATATTGTAAATATGTAAATAACAACTATTTACATAGCATTTACATTAGGTATTATAAGTAATGTAGAGATGATTTAAGTATATGGGAGGATGTGAGTAGGTTATGTGCAAACACTATGTTCTTTTATATAAGTGATTTGAACATCTGCACATTTTAATATGTACAGGGGGGCGATCCTGGAATCAGTCCCTTGTGAATACCAACACTTAATAGATGTGAAGAGAGTCTGCATATTTTCAGTGAACTTGGCTGTTTCAAAGAAAATCTATTGACTCTTCAAGAAATCAGCTGCAATCCATTTATTTCATTTACAAAGATTTATTGTAAGCATCTCAATATTGATTTGTCAGTTTATCTTGATTTGTCAGTCTTTCTTATTCATAGAAACAAGTCAGTTTAGTATTTTTTATCTTTAGGAATGCTTCACTAGGCATTCAAAGGTAACACTTTCAATAACTGATATTCCCCTAAAATAGTTAGATTTTTATAAATGCACATTAAATAATAAATTATGACCCACATTACTTTTGGTGGGTGAAAATAAAACAGAAATAATTGTTTTTGTTAGGATGGTGCTGAGTAAACATAAAAACTGATTTCCATGAGCTCATGTGTTATGTACACAATGGAAAGATTTTAGTTTGCATTTAGTCTATCTTCCCAATTTTACAGATTTCTCACTATATATATTTCTAGAAAGGATTATGTATATTCAACGTATTGAAAACCAAAGCAACCACAAATGTGTAATTTATGGTCTCCACCAAGGCCGTGTAATAACCCAGTTAACCTTCTCTTTAACCAAGAATATTAAGTTCTATAACTAGTACTCAAGATTTAACCTTAAAATTGAGATTTCCGTATTGTGCTAAACATATGTAATACAATGTAACTCCACTGTTCTCCTAAACATTCTTTTGCTCTAATCTCTCTGCCAAAAGTCAAAGCGATGGGAGAACTGGTACATTGGTATGACAACGTCTTAAGTCAGATTTTTATTTATGAGTTTTTGAGACTAAATTCAATCACCATCAGGTATCAAATCAACTTTTAGCAGCAAATACATGATTCTAGTGTCTGACTTCTGTTAAATTAAAAAATGCAGTTTTTAAAAACCTGTATCTAACCCACTTTGTAGTTTTTGTTCCAATATCCATTCTGTAAACTTTCGAACAAAAGATTTTTAGTTTGCCACCCAATATATTCTGACTTTTAAAAAATTCTCGTTCATATGGGAGAAAAGGGAGTAACAACTTGTACAAACAGTATTTCTGGAGTATATTTTAATGTTTTAAAAAAGAATGATTTTATTTAAACATCTGTTATCAAATTTGATGATGTTAAATGCAATGTAATGTATTTTCCTTTTATTTTGCACTCTGTAATTGCACTTTTTAAGTTTAAAGAGCCATTTTGGTATACAGTTTTTATTAAAGATGTTATGGAACATAAAGTTGTATTGCATGCAGTTTAAAGTAACTTATTTGATTATAAATTTTATCAGTATACTGAATTGTATCAATTTGTTCGTGTTCAATATCAGCTTTGATAATTGTGTACCTTAAGATATTGAAGGAGAATATAAATAATTTACAAGATATTGTTAATTTTTATTTATTTTTTTGGAAACTGAAAAAAAAATGAAATAAAAATACATTGAACATCATGCATTCAAAATCTACACTGGGAAGGCAGTCTCATTCTTTTTTTTATTTTGCAATTTTTCCCCACAAAAAATTAAAGGGTTTATAGGCAGTGACAAGGCTATAATGTGTGCAGATATAAAGACTAAATGGTGTTAATTTTGGAAAACAGTCTATAAATGTATCACATTTTATAGCCTACCATGAAGAACTTCTTGAACTAGAAGGAGCCACATTAGTTATAAAATTCTAGGTGTTGGTATTTTAAAATCCTAGGAGTTAGTATTTTTAAAAAAATATTTTAAAGAGTATTTTAAAAGAGTATTTCTAAAAAGAATAGATATCCTACTGAAAAGTAGCATTTGAAAAGATACATCAGCCAAAATGGTGTCTTCTTGAACTAGATTCCCTAGTCTTCTTGAAAATATTCCCTCAGCCTTGGCAAAGAGGCTTGACTCCCCTGAGCCTTCAGAGCAGACAAGCTTGATTCTTCTGAAACTCCATCACAGTGATGGACGGTTACCTCGCTATAGTGCTTCAGCAGCCTACAGAGTACTTGCTCCATCCCTCAGCTCCTTGTATCTTTCATTAGCCTGCAGCTGTGGCAGTGAGCTATGGCTAAGACCATTTGACAGTGAAGTTAAGCAATTTGTCCTGGGTCACACCAGTGGCAAAAGATGGAGCTGTCATGAGAACTGAGGTCTTCTGACTCCTAATTTCACTGATTTTCTGGCCATATAAGAGGCAGGGGAAGATCATAAGGAGTTAGTCTCAGATCTAGTTTAGAGTTTTCTCGGGAGAAATAAAAATTCTTGTAAAACAGAATCTTTGAATTGTCATAGAACCACTACACTGATTTAGTTCAAGGTCTGAGAACCCAGAAGATTAAGGAAGAGAACTATTAGAAACACTTTTCTTCTCTCAGCTTCCAGGATACTACACTAATCTGTTTTTCTACCTGCTTCTCAGTCTTTTGCTATATCTCTCTCAATATTTCCCTATCCTCTACCGTGGACCTAACAATAATAGAATGCCCCAAAGCTTAATCTTGTAAATTTTCTCTCCATATAGCCACTCCCTACTTCATTCCATATAGTTTCACATTTTTAATTGCTGTTTAGATACCAATTACTCCCAGTCTAAATATTTGCCATGAGTTCCAGATATCTGTGTCAAATTACCTAGCATCTCCACTTACATATTCACTAGGCATTCAACAGTAACATGCTCAATAACTGATATTCCCCTAAAAAATGTTTCTTCAATGATGTACCTCTCTCAATTAAACTCCACCTTTCTTGTATCTCAGACCAAAAACCT